ATGTACTCGTGTGTTACTCGTATGTACTCGTATGTTACTCGTATGTACTCGTGTGTTACTCGTATGTACTCGTATGTACTTGTGTGTTACTCGTATGTTACTCGTATGTACTCGTGTGGTGTTTTAGTCACGATCGATCACAACCTCGACGTTTCGAGCGAAGGCCCTTTGTCGGGAAGTGATAGCCTTTGCTTGAAACGTCAAAGTTCTGTTATTATAATTTTCAGGTAGTTGTATCTTTCTCTCACACCGCAGCCGTCCGTGATAAGCCACGCTTGTATTTGTCGAGGGCCACGCCTATTTAGTCGGCAAAATCGATATGCCTCACCTCTCTCCCCCTCTCAAAAGGTCCAAGCTACGGCACTGATTGCTATATCTAGACTACAGATATGTGACGAAATTGGTACAATTGCATGCAAAGTATTACTCTGACATCATATTTCCACACGTATTCTGGCGTGTTAAAATTACTGCTGACGCCATTATTCCTCTTCGTTTATTTTATGGCGAAATTTCAAATGCAACAACTTTAATTTACGTGTGCTTATTCGATTACCTACACCAGAATAGAATCGTAGACAAAAAAACGCAGCGTGTAAACGTTTTTAAAGGCACAGTGTCACCTGCTGAGCGATGTGACTTAGTCAGCGCGAAACTTTGAAAATGTTCGTGAACTTTCTCAAAGTTTCACACTTGTGCGAAAGAAGTGGCGATATTGTTGCTCAATATATGCCTCATTATGTTATAAAGGTGGGCATAATTTACACCGAGTGTTCAATACAGATTTATCAAAATAGCTTGAATTTACGTCTCTCAACATGATAAATAATATAAAATTACAGTACTGTCATTTTGTCGCAATGGCGTAATACCACATCGCTCAGGAGGTGACACTGAGCCATTAAACGTTCTGACCGTTTATACGAGTCGTTCGCGACTTAATTAAGGCTTATTTTTACTCGAAAAATGGTCCCGTTCCAATAAAAAGTTGACTACTTTATATACAACCTGCCCTAGTTTCATCGTTTAAGACGAAATTACAATTAAGCCTGTGTTATTATTTTACTTAGAAGCAGGAAAAGCGCGTGGGAGGTGATATTTTGAAAAATAGTTTGAACATTTATTTTGAAAAAGATCGCCAAAAGCAAAAAAATTTGCTGCGAAATTTTGTTATTTACAACGAAAGGATAAGCAAATGAAAAGGTTCCAGAATCTAATTACTGTACCTCTAAATATAGGGTCGCTGAAAAGGGTGATCAAACTGAATTGAGGAAGGACTCGCTTTTTAAAATGGACCAACCAGATTCAAAACATGCAAAGAAACAAGGAGAAGAATTGGAAGAAGCATTTGCACACCTTTCCTTAGGACAGTCTTACAGAATGAAGAATCAGTTTCAAACGGCAATTAAATCCTATGTGAAAGCTTTGGAAATTGCAAAGGAGCATGAATATAAGCAATACGAAATAGCGGCATTATTTGAGTTAGGACATGCACATAGATTGGACAATAAGTTTCAAACGGCAATTGACTACTATGCGAAAGCTTTGGAAATTGCAAAGGAGTGTAAAGAAAAACGAAAGGAAACAAAGGCATTAGTTGAGTTAGGCGGAGCTTATAGATTGAACAATCAGTTTCAAGCGGCCATTGGACACTATAAAAAAGCTTTGGAGATTGCAAGGGAGCACGAATATAAACAACTGGAAACAGAATCATTAGTTGGGTTAGGAGATGCTTATAAATCGAACAATCAGTTTCAACCGGCCATTGGACAATATGAGAAAGTTTTGGAACTTTCAAAGGAGCATGAATGTAAACCGCAAGAAACACAGGCATTATTTGGATTAGGAGATGCATATGGATCGATCAAACAGTATCAAACGGCAATTGAATACTATAAGAAAGCTTTGGACATTGCCAGAAGAATAAAACATACAGAAGCCGAACGAAAAGCATTACTTTGCTTAGGAAACTATTATAAATTGAGCAATCAGTTTCAAAATGCTATTCAGTGCATTGAAGAATCCTTACAAATTGGAAAAGGACCAGCAGATAGAAATCAGGAAACGATGGCAACAAATTCAATGAAAGGCTCGTCAGTAATAATCGGTACGCATTTAGTAAGCTTGTCGCTGCTTTTAAAACGTCTCTTTTAAATTAACTCTCCCTTGAAGGCTCAATTTGTGTAAGATTATTTATATCAGTGACTTTGTAGGTATTGTTATTGATGAAATACTCTCCAATGCGCAGTCATTAGTTGGATCTTGAGAACTCCCATCGTTGAGCGACATATTAAGCTACCCATGCATCAACAGTTTAGATGAAATATATTGAAAGTGTGATAACCAAAAAGTTTATTTTTGTCAAGAACATTTCATAGGTTTTAATTTTATACTCAGTGAATTATGTCCCACTAATTTCACACTCTGGTTGCCCTAGCCATAGGTCTATTAAGATATGATGATCTGGAAACTAGACAGAAGTCACTGTGTTTTGAGTTTATTGTTAGTTTGCGCAGTGATTGAACTCATTGTACTTTCGTAGTATTAAGTAATTGTCCAACAGGGTTAGCTGTGGTGAAACATGGTTAATGAAGTTGAATGAAATAATTTTTGCACCGTGAGAAAGATAGAGTTCTTCATCAAACAAAGACCTCCAATTTTGTAGCTTTGAAATTTTCCTGGCCATCACATCTTGACAGATTATGCCTTTGTTAAAAAGCATTTGTTAAGCAGTTCGGAGAAAGGTTAACATTTTGTGCAGAGGCGTTCATTAGATAGGGGGCTCTTGTAGGTGGCGTTTATTAGATCACTTTGAATTTAATTCAACATTTATTAGAGTATAGACGTTTGTTAAAATATCAGCGTTGGAGTACTTGAGTAGTGGAGAGTATAAGCAATAAAAGATGTAATGTTTTGACTTTTTCAAAATAAAGTAAAAAACACCCTCCCTCTGACAGTACAAGAATGTAATAAATGCCTGGAGCATTTATTAGATCATATATAGTAAATATGTCTTTATTCCTGATATCTATGAGTAGCTGCATTAGTCGACGTGCTTTGATTCACTGGATTTTTAACCTGTACGAGTCATGTATAGATACGCACGATGATAGAAACAAAAAATATTTAAACAACTAAAACGTTAGACATGCAGTATCCTGTTGCACGTCGTTCACTATATTTAAGCATTGTTATTTTACACGATGCTTGGTATTTATTATTTAATTCGAGAATTTTTAACATATCTTAGGTGCAAATGAAGAGAGAAATTTAGATGACGCTGTCGTATTTCAAGAACGTAAGCCAGTTGCAGGTAATTCTTTTTAATATTTTTATGTTTCCGTGAATGTAGTTTTCTATGGCTGACACATGCACTCATGACATGTGTGCTATGGTTCGTCGTGTCTCTAAAAAGTTATGCAAACTTTCCATGCTTCGTGCGCTGGGAAAGAACTAGGTGCCCCACTTAAAATGAAATGTATAACTGAGATCACTAATGAAAACGTTTTGCGCGCCCCTCTTGTATAATAGGATATATGGAATGATACAGTTTTTGCAATGGGTATTACAAACTTAAGTTGCCGTTTGTTTCGCCTCTGATCATTTCGGCTCTTGCAATAGTTGATCAACGTGTCATCATATAGGTATGTTTATTAATAAATTTTACTGAAGGTGCCCGAACGTAGAAAACTTGTTCAGAAATCAATGTGCACTTTCATCTGCATTAGAAATAGTGACATTTTCGAAACTTTTAGGCTGTTCCACATTGAAAAGCAAAAATGTTGCCATTTCAAAAGTATTCGTTGTACTGCCATGAAATTAGAAATGATAATAGCTTTTTACCAGTGCTATTTGCCCTATGTGTTTGTTGGCTGCGAGCCATATAAATAGACCTTGTGTATAATTTTCAGTAGAGCAGTAACAGGAATGTACCAAAAATACCAGACTTTTTTGTCCCTCCCCCCCCCTTCACCACCACCTGTTACTTGGGATAATGCACCTGATTTCAAATTATACACAAAGTCTATGGCATATTAAAAAAGCAGTGTTGCATCATGTAGAATACATTATTCTTAAGTGTGGAAATTTGGGAGTTAAAATACCTCAGAGAAATGTGCCCGCTATAGCTTAAAAAGCCAATATTTATAATTTGATAATTCAGTTGATGGAACACTTAAATCCCGCATGAGTCAGATGCAGATGGTTATATAGTTGCAGTTTAGAATTATGACATAAGGGTAACACGTACCCATCGTCTACAGCTCAGTCTCCAAAGCTACAGTAGTGTATCTTGATCAGTCGGTATTTGGTGACACTGCAGATACGTGTTCAATATACAATTACCTGCAGCCTAAGGCAGGGGTTATAATGCACTTCTTTAGTACTAAGTTGTACAGCCTAGAAATGTACTTTTATTGCTTTCAATATCAAACTCCTATTAATTACACGTCTTCTCTCTCTGATACCTAAATATATCTTACATCACGCGACATAACGTGACTACATTACAGGAATGGTACCAGAGGGGGCTATAGTCCCACTGTTTTGGAACTCTTACTATTTATTAAAAAATTGAAAAATTAGCTTCGTCGGGGAAGAAATATTTTTGTAATGAGTGCATGTTCTGTGACACTGCTAAACTGTAGGTCGCATTGCGACTAAACGATCATTTTACTCTGACTAACACAGCCGCATATACTCGTCAAGGGAAGACCGCTGGCTCTAAATGGGTTAAGGGGTTAGGGCAGTAAATTACATTCTGCCACAAAGTATCCTCAGCATATAATATATCCAGGAAATACAATCCAAAGACTTAAACATTTTCTCATATGGTGCATGCCCCCTTGTCAGCCTCTTATTAGGTTGGGTAATTCCTAGCCAGGTCAACTAGTTAGGAAACACCAAGTATTATAACTTCTCATAAAAACGCCAGGTTATTACAAAAGTATGCAAATTTATGGAAAATAAATACATATTGATGATACAGGTTTATTTGAAGACAGGTGGGAAATTGTAGTGTGACAAAAATCGCGGTGAAAACAAACCTGTTACGACACATTCAAAATAAATCAAGAAGAGTTAACTTATGAAGCTGTTTTGCTTGGTGACGATTTTTTGCTATTCAACTTGGTACAAATTAACGGTTATTCCTTTAAAAGTCAACTATGAATTCTTTGTTTTGGGACGATTTGTTTTGTAATCGAGTGATTGGAAGAAGTTAATATGGCGACGTGAACATGGGAGTAAATACCGTATACGTCGATCTGTGGCTTGTTTAAAACCGTAATAAACGAAGAAAGACGTGATATGAGAATGAAATGTAAGTTGAAATTAACTTTATATGCCTCAAATTTTCCATCCTATGTTTCTTAATGTAACTTCAGCTGTCTAAGTTCAAAATACAAGCTCGCGAAATTTGACAAATTTTGAAAATATGTTAAAATAGCTTGACTTTGAACTGTATTTTCTCAAAAATAGCCCGTGGCCTCAATTTCAAATATAGCTAAATGAAAAG